AAAAAAAAAAAAAAAAAAAAAAAATCGTTGAACTTACGGATCAAAAACAAAATTTCGAAATTCAGTGATCGCCTATGCATACATCGTGTTGTATGTATATGTTGGAGCGAGGAAGAAGAGTGTCTGCAAGCTAAGGCCACGATTCTGCACTATACGTCAAAACGACCCACCGCATAATTTTGTTTTGACCCCCTGTTTATTTATTATTTATTTATTAATTATACAATATACACACACACACATATATATATATATATATATATATATTTGTATATTTTATTTAAATTTGGAAATAGAGCTTTATAAATTATTGATAATTTGTTTCATCAGTTTATGACGAATAGACATGGCCAAAACCCGAGCCGGGTCACGATCCAACAATATCCCTTCTTGGAATTTTTTTTTTCTTTTTGTTCAAGAAAATAGTTATCATCCCTCAAAATTAAAAATTACATTATACTCAAATTTTTTTTCCAATTAATATAGTGATATATACATATATTTAAATAATTTATATTTGTACTAGTTTAATTTGAGTATTGAGTAAATTTTGAAAATGTGATATATCCATTATGTCTTTTATAATTTATATTATATTCATAAATATAATTTATAATATTTTATTTACATTTGTGCATATATACAAGATGATTACTAGTATATATTCTTTTCAATCAATATAGTGATTTATATATATTTAAATAATTTATAGTTATACTGGTTTAATTTTAGTAATGAGTAAATTTTGAAAATATAATATGTCCATTATCTCTTTATAATTTATATTATATTTATAAATATAATTTATAATATTTTATTTACATTTGTGCTACAAGATGATTACTAATATATTTGAATTTTAGTGACATAAAATAATAGTAAAATTTGTTTGGGGAAGAAATGAGTTTCGTTGATTTTTGAATACACACCTCACAATTTATTTAGAGGAATTTCGATGAGCTAAAAGAGTAGTAAAATTAATGAACAATATATCCAAGCAAAACTGAATGTTGATCACACGTCCTTCGCGCCAATAAAGCAAGCACCTAATTTCAAAATTGAGTAACAATCCAAGCTAAAACATGATCCACCAAAATCGAAATGACATAATCTTGATATTGGATACAAATTATATGAAACACGTTTAATCCAAAACTCTCGATGCGAAATGATGACCCGAGGCAGCAAGTGGAGACCATCTTCCATAACTAGACGAGCTTTTTAATACCTAACAAATTGTCGAACATCACCTTCAGCTTTCCTCCCATACGGATTGCTATCACTGAAACCATGTCGAGTTCCTTCAACTCGTCGAGCTTTTTTCCTGAACTTGGAGGCATTGCTATCGATGTTCAAGTTTACTTTTGGAGGTGAAGTAAAGCAAAATGAAGCAGCAACAGCCTGCCACAAAAGGAACGGCATAAGATGTTAGAAATTTGATCAAATATACGAAAAATAAAAAAATTAAAATTTGATATTCAAGTATTGAGACTGCCAGTACCTGCAGATCAAGTCGATGCACATTAAAGATGTCTTTCATAGAATGTGAATTATATGCTAGAATATACGATCTGTACGCATCTTTAGCCGACTTGTTCAAGTAATAGTTGTTCGAGACCAACTTTTCCTGAATCAAATGCATATTCATAAATTCCTTCAATATTGAAGCAGTAATAACTAAAAACAGAAATGGGGAAGAAAAATTATTTAGGAAAGCATAGAGCAAAAAAGGCCATGAGAATGAGATGTTACCAAGTGAGGTTGCACGTTCGATAGCTTCTTCTGATCAAACTCATACTCCTTGACGGGGACCTTTGCAGCCTGAAAATTAAGTGATCATGCGATAAATTGATGTTAGAAGGAAGACTAAGTTTGGCTTTTGCTCCAGCACAATTACCACAAATCAAACTATATATCTTCAGGACATAGAGAATCTCTCAAACACTCTTTAACTAATACAGTAGACAGGTCAACATATAATATTGAAATTGAAACTATTACATTAAAAAAAAAATGCAAACTATAGTAAACAGCCTAATGCAAACTAAAGGTAAAAAATAGAAGTCTTTTCTCGTGTGATCAAAAAAATTTCCAAGATAACCAAATTTCACATATACCTTAAGGTAACGAAGAAACTGTAACTCTTCTGGAATCAAGAAAAGCAAAGCATTCCCTTTCGCACCTTCCCCACGGGCCGTACGTCCAACTCTATGAATGTATTCCTGATTGTATGATATATATAACCAAAGGTGAGACAGACACTGAGAAAATTATAAGATACGTTGAAAAAAACTTTATCCAGAAAGTCTGCTAATCACCTTGGGCTCATCAGGAGGATCATACTGCACAATCCAATCCTAGAAAGAGATCAGGGAAAAAATCAATCATTGTAAGTGTTATATGAGACACAAATATAAACTAAACACAACACTTCCAATCTCTTGTATAGCATACCACAGCAGGAATATCAAGGCCACGTGCTGCTACATCAGTACATAATAGGATGCCCTTTTCTGCTTTGCAGAAATCAAAGAAGGTTGTGGTTCGTTTTTGCTGCTTTTGCTTGCCATGGATATCAAGACAATCGACCTGAATGTATCTGAGAAGCTCCGAATGGAATTTTACAGAATTGCAAGAGGAGAAGAAAACCATCACTTTCTTTGACAAGTTCCTTTTCAAGAAGGAATAGAGCAGAATAAATCTCTTGGCACTAGGGACAACACAATAGCCTTGCTGCAGTCCTTCGTTGGTGACCTAACCGACCAATTTTAAAAATGAGTATCAATAGCGAGTTCTGAACATTATTGTATCAACTAGAAGAAAAAGAGCAAAAAAAAAAGGCAGGCTTTTTCCTACCCTCCTCCTTCCATCATCAACATCTACATAGACAGGAGTAGTCTGAAATGATAGGCGTGCAAGATCTTCAACCTGAAAATATAAAAAGTGAAAAGTTTTCTTCTGAGTTCATCAAGAAGGAAATAATCGTTGATTTTCCAGCTTCATAGGTTAAAAGATCATTGTTTGCACGATTTAAATATCACAACGTACTGGAGAAATAGTTTCCCAAATAATAATATTTCATTCCATAACAAGTATTGCTTTTTTATTTCATTCTACTGATTTCTTAGTATGCTTACCCTTGCTCGGGAAACAACAAATAGAATGATATCAGAAAGTACAAGTACCTTCTTTGTTTGTGTGGCAGAGAAGAGAGCTGTTTGCCTCACCTGCAAGATAGATAGAAGCATATCAGATAATTCAGTTCTGCGAATACAATGCATGTCCACATTGACTAGCTATGAAATGATTGTGTTTCTCAACATGGCAACTATATTATATCCATAGCCTATTGTTCAAATGGTATCAAAACAGAATATGAACCAAAATGGATAGGGTTAAATAAGTAAATGTTTTCAAGGAAGCAGCTCTTATGGTATATAAATATCACCAAAAAATCTCATTCTCAAGAATAGAAGGGGGACAGTGAAGCTGCAGATATTCAACTCAGATAAAGTTGGAACAATAACTGGAGCAGCAACGCAAAGTTTTAGATATATAAACAAACTATAGGTCCTAGCTCTGGCTACAAGTACCTTAGGCAAAATTTTAATGATTTGCTTCATTTCCTCCTCAAAATTAGCTTCCAAAATTCGATCAGCTTCATCAATCATAAGGCACTGCACATCCAAACATGAAAATAATAGTTATGTCAAGAGACTTTTTGCAAATAAATAGTTTCTGCAAAGAGGATGAGAATGTTTTTGTGAAGCTTTAATATAAAAAGTCAAACATGTGAATGCAAATGACTAATCTGAAGCAAGAATGACAACAGGATATGCCTGTGTATGCATATAACAGTAGAAAACTAATTCCATGAGCAATATCTTTTTGATCAAGTAGTGCATGCATTGACTTCGCAGGCAAAATGCCAAGGAATACAATATAACTACAACATTCCGGTGGAGGAAAAAAATAATGGTAGGATGCAACATTAGGAATTAATTAGAAGGAGATCAAGAGCAAAAGGATGACTACTTGTTCTTTCTTCAAGGAAGCAAACAAGAGAGAGGCAACAAATTAAAGTCTTATGAAGGCATCTATAACCTATTCAAACTTCCCACCAACATAGGATAGATGTCACGCTAGGACAGATGGAAGAACCAAATTTTAAAGGCATATTCCTTACATCGATCAATTCAAGGCTTTGCAAAAGGATATGATGTTTTGTGATATTCATGTGTTAGATAATTTAAATACTATTTTGTCCTTTTCTTCTTAAAAATTAAATAAAGGATAAAACATTACTAACTCAGATGTTTTATGACTACCCTCATTATATTCCTCATCTCATCACCCCTCCCAAAAAACAGCCATATACCTTAAGAACCAACAACTCTGGCATATGCACAAGTGAACTCCAACTTTCAGGATAGTATTAAGACAAATAGTTCAGTAGGTAAAATTCTATGGACAATAATTACTTCAGATAGTCCAACTCCAACTTAAAAATATCTAATACACAAGGAGAAAGATTACGCTAGGTCATGATGATAAATAACAATAAAAAAGCAACTCAAAACAAAACCATACCTTTAAGTTCTTATATATAAAGCCTTTGGTGTTCTGAAGATGGTCAAGAAGCCTACCAGGGGTTGCTACCAAAAGATTTACCCCTCTGGCTATGCGCTCTGCTTCTCCTCTTCTAGCTGAACCACCAATAACCAGTCCAAGCGTTTGAGAATGATATTTAAGAAGGTCCTTTGCTACAGCATGTGTCTGTAACATAAGATTAGTCTCGTGAAGCAAGCATCAAAACCAATGTCTAAAGTATCTCTCAAATTAAATGAAGTCAACATTAATTTTCAAGTTGTGACTTCTTAGAGTAGAGCATTTGAAAGACTCGTTGTACAGCCAGCTGCCAGAAAATACACACCAGGATAGTTTAAGACATCATCGATACAAATTGCTAAAAGAGATGACAAGATTAAGCAGTCAATCGAACTAAAAAGTGGATTAGCAACCATCATAGATAATAGATCTAAGTTCATCATGATTTGTGAAACAACATTCTTTTTGCAGTATTCTAAAATCTAACTTGTGAAATAGAACCCAAATTCTATGAACTACGTGTACAAAGCATAACCCTCAGGAAAATAATATCTCCAATCCATTCATCCAAGCATGCATAATAGTAAAGCCAATCCCTGTACACCTGCTTGCAAAAATTATTTTCCACATAATTCTTATATACTGGTACACTGCTATAAATGACATAAAAGACAGAAAAGTAGAAGAATAGTGGATATAGCCAGCAGTTAAAATGAGAGCGTAAGACTTAGTGGAGTAACTACACTGAACAATTAAAATTGAGTAACGCAACATATCAAAAGCACGTCACTACCAAAATTGTTTAGATTTATACCTGTATGGCCAACTCCCTTGTCGGGCAAATAACAATAACACCAGTCCCATTTCGAGGAGTAAAACGGATGTTGTACAACAACTCGACAGCCGGTACCAGAAAAGCAAGGGTTTTCCCCGACCCTGTCCTTGCAGCTCCAAGAACATCCTTGCCTTCGAGTAGTGGTGGTATCCCTCTAGCTTGGATCTTTGCAACACATCAGAAGTAAACACAAGTCTATCACTAAATAAACAGACAATATTTCACTATTCAACAGTTCAATTGTGTAACTTCCACTTCCCAGTACAATCTTTAGTAGTTATAACTTATGATTGTGAGCAGAAAAAATCGGACCCAATAGTTCAAACGGTGTGACTTCTAATCCCCAATGATATCTTTAGTAGCTATACTTATAAGTAGAAGAATCTGGACCTAGAATCTGTCATAGCTTGCTTCAGGACAATTGATATAAAGTATTTACCTGAGTCATATACTTAAACCCCAAGTCTTTGATGGCATTCATGGTGGGCTCAGAGATGGGCAGCGCAGAAAATGCTTCAGAGCTCATAATCCCTCGCGAACCACTTGCCTTAGCCTCTCTCTTCAAATCTACCTCCTCCGAATCTTTTTCTTCCATCTTCAATTTATTCTTCTTCTTCTTCTTCTCCTTTTCAGCTCCTTTCTCGTCGGTCTCTTCTTCTTCTTCTTCGTCTTCTTCCTCCTCCTCATCGTCTTTTTCTTCTACTTCTTCTTCTTCTTCTTCATCTTCTTCCTCATCCTCCTCCTCTTCTTCTTCTGCTTCTTCTTCATCTTCCTCCTCCTCCTTTCTATTTACTTCGTCTTCTTCTCGTTCTTCATCGTCTTCCTCGCGATTTTCCTCTTCTTCCACTTGCGGGGCTTTTACAGTGTTCTTTCTGTTGTTCCTGTTTCTCTTGCGCTTCTTCCTTGTGGGGTCGGTGGGCCTGTTCAGGAGATGTGATCGCTCCTCTTCGGTGACGTCCATTTTAGACGATGGGCGGCGGCGGCGGCGGGTAGAGAGCTGTGGTATGGAGAGGTTTTGCGATTTTTTTTTTTTTTTCTTTTTGTATTTAGGCCGTCTCTTTATAGATGATGATGTTGCCCCAAGTTCGGTGCTGTTTGGCCCTAATTCTAAACTTCTTTTATTTATTTACTAATACTTACCATGTAAGGAGATATTAAATTAGTTGTTTTCACATACTTTGTCCTAGGGGTATTTATGGTATGGTCTTAATCGAAAAAGATCGTTAATTTGAACCGCGGATCGGTTAAATGGTCAGTTAAAAGAGCCTTAAAATTCAGTGGTTAATTTTTTAAAAAATTCGAAATAATTGGTTCGGTTAACGGATTACCTGCGGCAAACCGCCGGTTTAACCGTACCGGAACGGTAAATATTAAAAAACTATAACAAATATATATACACATTCGATCATTCACTATGGCCGACAAATACATGCACTTTAACTTTTTAACCTTTTGCTGACTTAATTTTGTAACACAGTATAACTTTTCACTTTTTCTCACCTTCTCTTCCTAAATTAATCTTCATCATTTTTGTATTTTTATTTTTGTGAGACGAAATGTGTATTTTTTATTTAATTATTGTTGTTTTCTTAATTTTTAGTCACAAATGATCTCTTTTAGGCCCAACATTGAAAAATAAAAATTAAGTCCACTATGAAAAAAATAAAATTTGAAGGCCCATAACAAGAATTTTAGATTTAACCGGTTAACCGTCAAACCGGACCGTCCAATGCGGTTTGGATTGTGACCGGTTAAAAAATAAAACCAGTCCGGTTATGAACAAGAAAAATATTAACCGTTAGGTCCGATTTGGTTCTGATTTGGGCTAAAACCAGACCATTGGATTGTGAACACCCCTACTTTGTTTGTTTAACTCTAAAAAATAATAGAGTTATCATCTATTTTCCAACTTTTTTAATCACCGTAATAAATATATTTAAAAAAATAATAGGGTTATAATTTATTTTCCACCTGCGTTGTTTTTTTAATTGGAACATTAAATATGTGAATGTTATTGTGAACTTGTCAAATAATTAATATATTATCTCACTATCACATTTATACAAATATAAATTTGATTTAAATATATATATTTATTCCTTCATATAAAAGAAAATAACAAATTTAATTATCCTTGTTCACAGATAATACTTGAAACTCTATTGAGGCTTAATATAAAAATTACTTTGAAACTCTATTTCACGATGAGGACTTTCGACAGATCCTCCCGGTTATTCCAAATGGGAGTCGTCAGGATATTGTGAATGCTGCAAGTAATTCATTCGACATATGGATTATATGTAATGTGTTGAAGCTTTCAAACAATATGCATCTTCCGAGCACTGACGATTCATATGGACGCGTTGAGATGACTGCTTTTGCTAATTGGATAGCGAGCATCAGAGATAGAACCATTGGGGGATCCATGATGGATTTGCCTTGACAAACATACCTGATGACTAGGGTTGGGCACGGTTCGAGTAACCGAGTTTTTTCAGGTATTTGCTAACCGAACCGAACCGAGCAAATATTCAAACTTGCTAACCGAAACCGAACGATAACTGAAAAAAATCTTACTATTCGCGAATTAACCGAACCGAACCGAGCAAACCTAATACAATTTTGTGTTAGGTTTGCTCGGTTCGGTTCGGTTCGGTTAATTCGAGAACCGAGCAAACCTAATATATATAGTTTAATATATACAAAAATAAGTTAGTTTAATATATATATAAATTTAATATATAATATATATTATATATTATAATATATATTATAAATTTTAATATTATATATGGTTCGGTTCGGTTCGGTTAACCGGGGTAAAAAAATCCTAAAAACCGTAACCGAACCGAACCGAGCAAATACTTCCTTTGAGGTATTTGTAACCGAACCGAGTACCCCGGTTAACCGAAAATTCGGTTCGATTTCGATTCGGATCTACGATTCAGCGGTTCGGTTCGAATTTTTTGCCCAGCCCTACTGATGACATATTGTAGGATCCCACTGATGATCATATCGCTGCAATTGTTGAGAGCACTTATTCAATATTTTAGGATGCAACCAATGATCCCAGTTATTTTAAGGATATGACTATACTGGCCTAACGTTTGAGGTGGTCAAGTCTATCAATGACTACATGAACGTCTTTGAACTTGTCTGACATTCAAACATACTTAATCTCTGATATTACGTACAAATCTGATTCGAATGATGATTTTTTTTGTTCAATCTCCACACCCCTAAAATTTTGAGTACTATCAAATGTTCTGGACTACTGAACCAGTCGTTGAATCTTAAGATATGAACCTCAATGGTGTTGTGGAACATTAACCATTTTATAAGGTTGAGCAATGGTAAGAGACTGGTTGTCACACAGTTAGTTGTACACTCATGTTCTTGAATGTAAAGTACTAACATGATCTAATGCAGGAGAAAGGTGTTGATACCTCAAATAACTCTAACATCATCCGACAGTAGAGAATCTATCAAATTTCAGCGAAAACAGTTTTCCCTAATAGTTTCTTGTACCATGACTATTAACAACAGTCAACGTCATTTGTTGGAATGTCACTTGTGAGTTGTCCCACATTGATTTGATAGGGTAAATAGGTCTAACTTATAAGCCTAGTGGGCTACTCCTCCCATCACCAATTGGTTTTGGGATGGAACCTCACTTGGGCTTCATTTGGGCTAACCCTCTTATGGTGCGCTTCACCTGTGTGGGACCGCACTCGTATTGCCCCCGTTTGACATGGTATCAGAGCAGGCCTAATTTGGGATCTGCTATGAAAAAAAAAAAAAAAAAACTACCCGGTCTGGTTGTAGGCGTGGGCTAAAAATTATACCCGGTCTGGTTGTAGGCGTGGGCTAAAAAATATACCCAGCCTAGTTGGAGGCGTGGGTTGATGAAGGACTCACAAGTGAGGGGGTGTGTTGGAATGTCACTTGTGAGTTGTCCCACATTGATTTGATAGGGTAAATAGGCCTAACTTATAAGCCTAGTGGGCTACTCCTCCTACTATCAATTGGTTTTGGGATGGAACCTCACTTGGGCTTCATTTGGGCTAACCCTCTTATTGTGCGCTTCACTTGTGTGGGACCGCACTCGTTATGCCCCCGGTTTGACATCATTTACTCACCGCCAATTGCATGTAGCTGTATCTCGTGTCAATAATCGAAAAGCCTTGAAAATATTAGTTTGTCCGGACAAGTATGATTCGAAAACATTAGACTTAAATAGCGTTTCCGGCCCTACACGTGGTCGGATATGTTTTCAACGGCAGAGGTGTGTATTAATACTGTAGTATCTGCCACACGGTATCGCTCCCATCGGAAGAGCAAAATTCCAGTGCTCCTCGGGCACAATATGATTTTCCATAAAAAATAAAACAAAAAAACATAAACCCTAGATTATTATTCTGTATCATCCGTCGCCGGGAAATTCATCGGAACCGCTTAATCTCAGGTGAGTTATCTCAGTCTCGATTAATCGATATCCAGTTTGATTGTTCTAGGGTTTTCTTCTCTTCAAGTCTGAAAGTATCTGATCCTCTTACAAAAGTGTCAGTTTTATTTTTTATTTTTTTTTCATAATATCGGAGTCTAGAATTATAGTATCTAAGGATGTGGAATTTCGATAGTATTCATATTCTGTTTTATTCGTAGGTTGCTTTGATCAAACAGCCCCATTAGAGGCGACCAAATGGTAAGCCTGTTTGCTTAATTTGTTCCCTTCACCCCATTTTTGGGCTTGTGTGTGTTTTCGTGTTGAAGTTCGTCTGTAGAAATCGAAATTTGATAATGTTTGTTGCTACTTGCATACTACTGTTATGTGATTTAGAATTTTAGATAATAATCGACTCCCATGAGTTTGATTCGTCATGTTTGCACTTGAATACTGATCGAAAGTTCGAAACACATTGCATTACTTGTATTTACTCTATAGGACAAAGGGGTTTTTTGGATGCCGAAAAGCAGTGGACATGCGAATGGTGTAGATACGGTTCTTGATAATAGCCCGTCTAAGATGGAACCTAAACGAGCCCGTCACTGGTTTTTAGACCCCTCTGAAGCCGATTTGTTTCCTAGCAAAAAGCAGGCCCTGCAAGCTTCAAACGCAAAGCTCGAGCCAGATATCATGATACCGGTTTCTCTTCCTTGGGAAAGCAGCTCCGGGTTCCCTCCCGGGCCCGTCACCCAATTCATGGACCGGCTTTTTGGATCCGAGACAATCGATAGCAGTATGCAACCCGTTGCTGGGGCAGATTGCTCGTCGAACGTAAGGACAAAAGCAGAGGGTGAACATTTTGAGAACGATGTTGATGGTTTATCGATCTCGTATCCCTTGGTGGACCCCACGGTGACTTATGGCAGCCTTAGAAAGGTCAAAGTCAGTCAAGTGAATGATGCATCTCTTGACCATGGTTATCACGGGACAAGCGAGAGCGCGTTTGACGTTTATTGTAAGGAAGGTGAGAATATGGCGTTGATTGGTGGCCTTTCATATGAAATTGGGGAAGAAGCGAATGTCAGGTCGGTGGGGCCCACTTTCGGGAATAAGGGGGACATTAACGGTTTATCTTTTGGCGGCTATCAAGACGAGTCTGTAATCGAAGCTCTGGCCAAGCCTGTTGTTGGTAGCTATAGCTTGTTGTACGAACAACAATCTTCTGCTCAGACTTTGGAAGTAGTGCCCAGCAAGAAGGAAGTGGATGTGCCGAATTTTGATGCTTCTTTGAGCATTTCTCGTGCGCCAAAATCCAAAGTTGAGTCGACATCTAAGAATAAATCGGAAACAAAATCCGCCAGGAAAGAAGCACCAAACAGTTTCCCGTCTAACGTTAGGAGCTTGATAGCAACAGGTATTCTGGATGGGGTTCCGATTAAATATGTGTCTGTGTCACGGGAGGTAAGTATTTTTATTATTCATTCATTTATTTATTTATTTATAGCTTTTGGTTCTTTGACAACTTACATAACGTATCTTTGTGCTTAATAAGGAGCTTCGAGGGATTATCAAAGGTTCGGGCTACCTCTGTGGGTGTGAGTCTTGTAATTACTCTAAGGTAAGACTCCATGTTACATCATTTCATTGGAGGAAAAAAAAAAAATAAATCTTTTATTTACTTTTTTTTTTATTATGAAGGCACTTAATGCTTATGAATTTGAGCGTCATGCGGGTTGCAAGACAAAGCACCCGAACAACCACATTTACTTTGAGAATGGCAAGACTATATATCAGATAGTTCAGGAGTTGAGAAGTACCCCAGAGAGTATGTTATTTGATGCCATACTGAATGTAACTGGGTCTCCTATCAACCAGAATGCCTTCCGCATTTGGAAAGGTAACGAAACCCTTGGGTTCTTCTTCTCTTGCTCACAATTAACTCTTTTATTATTTTGCATTTATCATTTAGTTCTATTAATTTGTCACCTTTCATCGTAATAGAATCATTTCAAGCTGCAACTCGTGAGCTTCGGCGTATTTATGGGAAGGAAGAGCTCAACCTATGAGATAGTATTTTGAAATTGCAACTGGATACAGGTTCATGCAGGGACGATATTGTAGCCTTTTTTGCCGGGCAGAACTTGAATCCGGTAAGCTATGTAAATTGTTTGTGGATAACCAATTTTGGATTTGTTGATTTCAAATGCAGAGCTGCCCGAATAGGGGAATCGTGGTCTCAAAACATTTTTCCTTTTTATTTTATTTTTTATGGGTAAACGTATAATGGCTGGTCTTTGTGTTAGAGTGACCTAACTATTAGGCTGCCACACATTATACAAAGATGCATCTCTCCGGTCTAATTGGCAGGTCGTCCCAGAGCCCACATACTTGGGCCTGTTTTGAAATGCTTAGGTGACAATGGGCTGCAATGTCCCAAACCTCAAACTCAGGCATCTATTTTATCACCAAGACGAGTAATGCTATATGTACGTAATATTGTACATAGGAGTGTTGAGTGTACATAACACGTAAATTGAGTGGGACCCAACAAAAATAAAAAAATTAAGTGAACACCACTCCGTATGAGTGTTATGTACATCTCTACATACATTTATTATTGCAGCATTTTTCATGACCCTCTTTGCTTCCCTTGTCTGCAAATTAATCGATCATTAATCAGTTAATCAAATTAATTTGATAACGGAAACACAAAAACCAGTAAGGAATTAGATGCTTAGAATAAATACCTTCCAAGATAAATATTGGGGTCGGATTTTGGCTCTACATATTATTAAATTCACATTCACTACTAGATATCTTATACCTTGTTTTTATTTTATTTTATTTTATGTTTTATAAAATATGACATGTTAACTCTATATAATTTCACAGACACCATCAAACATAACGAAATCGACGCAAACCAATCAATATTGGCATCACAACCATCTCGACTCCTTTTGAAACGTCGACATTTTTTAGCACAAACTGTATTTTTTTTTCGTTAAAATATGATTGTTTTAATTTGTCTAATCAATTATAATACATATTTCCTGAGAAGTTGGCTTATAATATGACACGATTTATACGGCCATCCACAATTACATACAAAAAATGTCTATGTATCTAAAAAATGAACGGACTTGTAAAATGAACTTGGCTCTATAGAATTTATTAAAAAATCATATTCCAAACTTATATCAAATTTTTAGCTTTAGCATGTGATTTGATTTTCAAGAAAATAATTATTTAACGTAGAAAAACTGGGTGAGAATTGAGAAGAGAATAAAATGGTCACGTGATTAGTGTAGGGCAAAATTGGGATTTAACTAACCGCTTCCACTAAGAGGGTGTTTGGATACGAATTGTCTCGTTTTAACTCGGTTGAAAAAAGTGAGGTATTTTGAGATAATTTGAAATGGAACATAGTTCAATTACAAATGATGTTTAGATACAAAACAAGTTTTGCAAGGGGACATGGTCACGTGGACCCCACTTTATTTTTCAAGGGCTAAAAAGATGAATACCTATTTTTAGAAGATGCTACGGTCCAGTTATGGAACTATCTCGTCGAGATTTGTAACTGTTAGATCAACTATCTCTAACGGTTACATGATGATCTAACGATTACAAACCCCGACGAAATGATTCTGTAACGAGACCTTGGCATTTCTCCCTATCTTTATATTACATTTCTTCACACATTTTTTGCAGTGAGTCCTATCTATATTAACAACTGTAGATATCGTTTCATTTGGAGGAGGAAAAAAATGTGGAATAGTTATCTCTATAATATAAAAAGAACTAGTTCGAGAATTAAACTGAATAAAATAATAAATATAACTTAGTCCTGATATATTTTGATAAATAATTAAAAAGAAAAAAAGAATTGTTCATACAACAATTATGATGTTAAATGTATAATCATTGTAAATTAATACTCTGCATATTTTTTAATCTTCTAGAATTCCATAATCACCTGCGAAATCAAACTTCAAACTTAAATACCTTTTTCAGAACATTATAAAATGAACCAACCTTTCTTAGATGCAAAATAAAATGAAAAATGGGTAAATTGCGCCAAACTCCCCTGTATTATACGAAATCTGCGCGTTTTCCCCCTGTATTTTAAAAATTGCGCCATACCCCCTTGTAATATACTTTTACATGCAC